CTTCTTCTTCTTCTTCTTTTCCTTCTTCTTCTTCTCTTTCTTCTTCTTCTTCTTTTCCTTCTTCTTCTTTTCCTTCTTCTTCTTCTCCTTCTTCTTCTTCTTCTTCTTCTTCTTCTTCTTCGTCTTCTTCTCTGCTCCAGCTTCTCACAGACCTTCATTTGTCGTTGGAGATGAAGTTGGTTTCTGCTGATGTGGCATTTTTTTTTTTTTTTTCATCAGTGTGAAATATGTAAAGCTGCCGTTAAGAGGATGAGGGTTTGAATCTGGGACCAGCTTCAAGTTAGAGATTTAAAAAAAAAAAACCAAATTCTGCTGCTCAACATCTGATGGTTTCATCTCCTCTGGATCTGAGTCAGTGAAGCTGTCTCTCCATATTTGGTTCGATCTGGAGTTTTGAGTCATGTAGCTCCACCTGGAGACTGAAGTGTGTGTGTGCACGTGTGTGTGTGTGTGTTGTGAACAACCAGCCTCCTGTTCTTCCTCTAAGCCTCTCACTTCAGCCACGTGTCTAATAATTCCCACCTTCCTAAAGGCTATAACACAGAGTGGTTCCCAACCTGGGGGGCGCGGCCCAGTAATGTGGACCAAACAGTTTATGGTTTTTTTTTTCCTATTTCTTTATCAGCAGCTGTGAAACGTCTCTGATTCAGTTTCAGTGAAGATTTTGGAGGAATGTTTCTGAATGATGTAACACGGGGGAGGGGCTGTTACCCCCTATTTTCAAAGGGGGGGGGGGGCGGGGGAGTGCATGCTGTGTCTGTGTACTGGAAACACTGAGCTAAATTTTTACATGAGTCATCCTCAGGCCATGGACACACACACACACACACACACACACACACGTCTAAATTTAACTGCTCACTGGTGCTGATTCACCAGGGAGAAAAACACCTGGTGGTCAGTGCAGGTCACTGCAGGCCAGTGGTTTCTCTGCTTCTTATTTTTTTGTTTAATTTTACTATCAAAGTTTGAGGACAGGAACCACACGGTGTGGAAGTGGGTCCTGCTGGTTGACGTGCGCGGGGTTGGGGGTTCAGTCGCCGCCGGTGGGGGGGGGGACCAACCCATCGCTGAGGTTTTGTTGTCGTGGGTTTCTGTCTTCTCCACGTGTTGAGGTTCGTTCATGCTGCTGCAACAGCAACGCTCTGATTGGTCATCTGGTCACATGACCTGCCCAGGACTGTTGATTGTGAGGGTCTCATTATCACCCCCCCCCATAATCATCATTATCCTCCAGCTCATCACATCCAGGACACATGGCCTAATAATAAGATCAAATCTCTGCTGGGATGGGTTTTTTTTTTGTTTTTTGTATTAAATTATCCAATTATCCAGTTATGGAACCCATCATCAGTCTCCGTCTGAGCAGGAACACCGGGTTCTGAGTAGAACCTTGATGAGAAACGGACCCCGTGTCAGTGGATGGTGTTGAAGAACTAACTAAACTTGACCTTTTTTTTGACCTTTGACCCCATTTTTTCCCCCCTACCGTGTGAATTTGCATCATTTGAGGAAGTGGATTACGTAACCAGAACTGGATCCACTGGACCTGGATTCACTTCCTCCTCTGAACGCTCTGCAGGACTGTGCTGTTTTAACCCACACCCTCTTTTACCCCACACCCTCCCCACCCCCCCGGGGCCTCGGTGCAGGTGCATGAACTAAAGTTCGATGGAATTTGTTTTCAAGCTGGGTGCAGCC